GTATGGTATGGGATAGATTATTGACCACTCTGGGCCTCATTCCCGACTCTAAGACCAAATCCTGGGCTAGTTACTGGGGCTGTGCTCCCTCCCAGCTTCTCCTGTTTGCAGACAGCCAGAGAAGCTGAAAGACCTTGGCAGCTGCGTAAACATCGCTTTTTATCAGCTTTCTTCTGAGCACAAATCCAAAACACAGCCTCTCGCTAGTTATGATGAAGAAAGTTAACTCTGTCTCTGCTGAACACAGGACAATAGTATAACAGCTCTGCAATTGCTGTAGAAGGACTGTAGCTCTTTTGAAATGCTGCAAGCATGCTAAATCAGTGTTCCTTTTCCCTGGCTGTTGGGAAGGTAAATAAAAATCCAGTGACTGGAAGAGATGGATGCTTTTTTTGAATTATACCTTTGCTAGTAAAATGTTTCAGTTTAAATTCAAATGTTTCTTTTATTTTGTTCTACTCAGTAAACAGAAGTACTTTATGTTCCATTTGAAATTTTTGTTTAAAAAAAATTGTTGAAATGTTTGTGTTTTAAAAAAAAAAAATACAAGTTTGGCTATATGCACTTATTTCATCAGCAGAAATGAAATGTTTGTGATTTTAAAAAAAAACAAATACAAATGTGGCTATATGCACTTATTTCATCAGCAGAAGGTGAAATGCCCAGATGTAGTCACTGCTTTTCTCTCATATCTAAAAATATTTCAGATGCATAGGGTATCTGATACAGGATTAAATTCTCTATTTCATACTAGAGTTTCCATTGAACTTTTTAACACACAAATCTAAGTTGTAGATTTCAACTACTGAAAGCAATTAAATCTCTGTATTTTTTTTTTTTTTTAATCAGAAGTCTGTTTCATAGTATCTTTCTTGTGATAGCTGTAGCTTGGAGTCCTCTGCAAAAAAATTACTTTGTCTTTTCAGGGACCTGGAAAAGCTGAAATATTATTTCTTCGGAAATCTCTAATACCAAATGTACTGTGAGAAGTGGGGCAGGGAAGATGTTTGTTTTTGTAATTGTTTCCTTTGCAGACTGGTTTAAAAATATTACTACTAGCTGAATGAGTTCTACACAGTTAATTGAGACCATCTCACTTGATAGAAGTTGACAGTGTTGATTATCAAACTGCTAAAAGTATTTCCTGTCCTTTGTGTCCCTGAGATGATATTCTGATGCATGTCTTTTCACAGGACCTGTTGTTCAGTGTGTGTGCTCTCAATATCATCTCCACCATTGTCTGTGCTTTGGCAACAGCAATGTGTTGCATGCAGATGGTTTCTTCTGATCTTCTGCAAATGGTGAGTATATTTCAGTGACAACACAGGATACTGTCCAACATAACATATGTACTTATCTGTGTGTACTCATTTGTACCTACTCTTTGCCTATAAACTGAAGCCTATTTGTGTGTCTTTGTGTACCGTTAGGAGGTGTGTGTACATGGGTGTATCTTTTTAATTTGCATGCACCGATATCAATATAGCATACAGATGTATGCAGTGTGACTAACAGCTGTGTTTAAGATGTTTACATATTGTATTAGAGAGTTATAATCAAGAATTTGCAACTGGGAGTATGCTACTTCTGTTAATGAGGTTGCTAACAAGGTTCAGTTATGTAGGCACATTAAATTTTCTGTTGTTCCATCTTTAATATCTTCAGTTTCCGCACTATCCAGAGCAATTGCTTAGCTCTAAGATACTGTTTTTCACTGCTTTTCTGGTAGGGGAACAATGAGTTCAGAACTGGAACTTTTCACAGCCCTGTGCTAATAAGTCCTTTGATAAAGAAAACAAGTTCAGCTTCAGAGTAGCACTTGTGTTTGAAAGAAGAGGGAAAAGGAACACTAGTCTTCTGCACAGCCAGCTGCATTTCAGGATGCTGTCTTGTTTTGGTTAGACAAAGACAGCTTTCCTCTTCCAAATGAATGCTGCAATTCTCAAGGTTTCAATGTAGTGTTGAAATAAAAAGGAAAAATTTAAAATCCATTGTATTTAGCAGGCCAGGTATACTGTTTCTAACCTGGCTCTATTACTGGCTAATCTAGGAAATTATCCTCATTTTAATAAGAGAGGGCAAATGCACAACCTAATATCAGTCATTTGTAAATCTCTCATATTTTCAAAGTTTGCTTAGAGAGAATACCAGCCCAGCAAATTAGCTGCAAACCATTTACACAAAAGAAATGGTGTATGACCTGCCAAGTAGGCATGTTAAGTAAATAAATAAAGAAATACACTAGCTGCTGTGGAAATTGATTTAAGTACATGAATTATGGAGGTAAGTCTGCCCTTTCTAGACAAGCGTCCAGTTACTGGGTTACAAACTTAGTAAATCCCTTCAATCTGTGATCTGGTGTTTACTCCACATAGTAGCAGATATAATAAGTTGGGCACATATCTCTACATAATGCCTGCAAATGGTACATAAATGCATTGTTTCATACAGCACTCTGTACTCCTACCGTGCGTGCTTGTAGAGGCTTCCAAACCGTGCTTATTAAATAACTTTGGTTTAGATGTCAAACAAAATTTACAACAGTAACCAAAAATGTATTCTAAACATTAAAGGATTTTTGTCATACTGTAGGTATTCTTTCTCTTCATGCACTCCCCCTCTCCCTGATATCTGCTCAAGAATGCCCTTTGGCTAAAGATCTTTTTCAGCTTGCAGCGATGACAGGGAGATGAAATGATCTCACACCTGGGAAGATCTGTCTGTCTAGTGTAACAGTGGTAGCAGTCATCCAGAAGTGTAACCACATATATTCCAGGAATCTTAACCTACACCTAATTTTATGGCATTTAGCAGTGTAAGAGGAATGAAAATGTGTAGATAACAATGAACCAAGAACAATATTGAAGTGCTTCTGGGAGACGTGGTAATCTCATTAGGAAGTCAGATACCTTAAAAGCACATAATTTTTCTCTCTGCCACTTCATTCTTCATTTCTTCCCTAAGATTATTTCTTTAATACCTGGCACTGCTGCCATTATGTCAGTTTCTTTTTGTTTCCTCTGCTTTGTGCTTCCAGCTTTTTTTTTTGCTGAGTTGTCTGTTTTCCCACCCTTTCAGCTCCATTGACAAGAATTTTCTTCCTACTTCCTACTCCACAGAAAGAATTATATCTTTCTTTCTGCTCAGCCCCAGTCTTTTCTTGTTTATCCTTAGAGTTTTTCCCTTTCTTTTTTCAGGTTGCTGAGCCAGATTCCTACCAGGCCTAAGTGAGCGTAACTTCCCTGGGGCTACGCTGATTTAGGCCACCTGAACTCTGACCTGAAGATTTCTTTTTCCTCCTCTATTTTCAGTCTATTGTCCCATGATCTGCAGTTCTCTTTTGCTCTCCTGCACCCAGGAATCTGATTTACTTCCTTTTTTCTTGCTTGTTAATGCTTGATGTGTGCTTTTTCCTTCTACCTTTCACCGAGGTACGCATCTTATCTTAGCAGGGTTGTACCATGCTGGAAGTTTAAGATAGCAGCAGCAAGAGATGCCACCCCTCTGTTTTAGTTATTATGCTGATTCTTTTACTCTGTTCTTACAGTGTTCAAGAGCTACATAGGCTCTTCTGTAGGAAGAGGAGGCATAAAAATATAATCCCTAGCCAGCCAAAAGCATTGTGCAATAAGGAACCATCCTCCTTGGACATCATTAGGTTATCACTAGGTCATCAGGTTTGTGATTCATGGGCTGTGTTAGTGTTCTCATCTCAGAAATTAATCAGTCAGAATGGTGAATTTTTGTAAATGTCAAATAATTTCAAGTTTTCTTCTGGCATAAAGCTGTTTGGTGTGCGTCAGGTATTTATTGTGTAGTGACATTGAGCTAGTTACGTAATACAGTTTCAAGAAAATCTGCAACAATGCTCCGTGAGTATTTGCTTTCTTGCTGACTTTTGCCTGCAGTGAGTATCTGATTTGTACAAGTAAACTGACAGTATTTTATTGGAAACTGAGACCTTCAGATGTACCAATATTTTAGTAAAAATGCCCTGAAAAATGTATGAACACAAGCTGTCCAGTAGTAAGCGCAGATTAAGTTTTTCAGCTAATTTGAAAGGGTTTGTTTTTTTTTTGTTAAAAATAATACCATCAAATAAACATTTGGTTTCAAGTGCTAAGGAAAAAATACTGCAAAATATCGCAAACTATTGTTGTTACGTTATATTTTCGTTCCCTTTAGGTTTTACTTTTGTACTGTCATATGGGACACAAAACCATATTTTCCTAGGTTGTTCCTTCTTTGAGGTGACTGTTTCAGAAAGTACCCCAAATTTTCACTTTAACCTTTCTCACCCTGTTAAGTATACACAATTGCTCAGGAAAAACAAAACCAAAACCAACAATTGTACTAAAGCTGCAAGAGTAAGTGATACCACAGTTAAAGACTGAAATAGCATTTGTTCTGTGTTTCACTACTTTAGACAGTTTAAGGTTGCACTCATTACAGGGCTTCCCAGAATTGTTCTTTCTGTGTGCACACCCCTCCAGCAGATAAATGTCAGCCAAGTCAGATTATATCAAGATTCTGTAATGTGAAGAAACATCTCTTAATAACCAAGCTGTTGCTTCCATGATATTTCATGCCTAAGGCAGTTTCAGTTTGCATCGTTAGATGAATGGCTACTGCAAAAATTCACCATTTTCTTCAAAAGGTAGCTGCCTGAATTAAAGAAAGAAAGAAATACAGGAACCTATGCCCAGTGTGGACAAGCTGAAGCGTGAAGTACACCTATTCCAGTCCTTCTTCCACTCCAAATACGTTTATACAGTACTTATCCTAGAAGTACTGGCACTGATATAATTCAGTGTGTTCTGATTTTATCACTGTCACTGTTAGTAACTGTTCTTCATGTGAAACAGTAATAAAACCCTTCAGGATGAAGTTTCACATTAAGTAAGAATTGAAGTTATTACATATTTTTTATTATTTAACCTAATTATATAAAAACCTAAATTTTATATTTTTTGGCACAAAGCTCATTTAAAGGTATTGTAAAGCCCAGATGACAGTCCTTTTAGAAATATGCATTGTGAATAATGTACATCCATAGAAGCATCCTAAATGTAAATATGGTTGGATAAATATACATCTCACCCCCACCACAGATAAAAAGGTAAAATAGAAACCTTTGGTGTGGGAAAGCTTTTGACATTTTTAGAAAATGTATAATTTTCCATTTCAGATTTTATTGGTAGAATAAGAATATTTAATATTTAAGACTATTTAAAATGCGGTCAGTTCTCAAGAAAGAGGTCGTGTCACAGGCCAGTCCCTCTGAGGGTACAGAGCTAATGGCTTGTGATGGTTATAGGAGCAGCAACTGGAAACAATGGAGCAGAAAAATTTGAATCTCTTTTCCTTATCAAAATACCTTCTGTGTTGCAATTTCCCTTTAAGGTCAGGACAAATTGTAAGAGTCATGATCCTTCTGTTCTTACTGACAATTAGTATCTACATTACCCTCCAGGAGATATTGATTCCAGTGTTTCAGAAAAAGAAAAAAGCAACCTGTCCAGGAGGAGGACAGTTAATTGAAGACAGAATCATAGACCCAATTATACTGAAAGAGCTTTTACTATAGGTAACATGCCAGTATTTAATTATATGCAATTAGAAATGTTTATTTCCCATTCCCAAGAATTTGCAGATTTTTATAAACGACATATAGAGGCTGAAATGAGGATAACAAACCCTGGAGTCTTAAAAGGACTCATTTCAAAGTTACACAGTAAATTTATTAAATATGATATGGAAGGCAGAGGTAATTACATGCAGATATGGGAAATACTCTAGATAAGAAGATTCCCTCAGAGCACTAGTCAGGTACTAATTTAGACAGGCCATAGTTGCTAAGCAGTGAATCCCAGCACTGTCGTTTACGTGGAGTCCATAGTCCTGATCAGCTGCAGAATGTGTAGAGTAGAGGATGTCTTTGTTGATGTTTAGTGGGGATGTCCCATACCAGGAAATACCTGTGAGTTCTTTGTCTCGCAGATCTCAGGTAGAAGGACTTAGCACATGGTATCACACTGGGTAACTGTTTCATTAGAGAATTATATTTACAGTCCTTATCTGCTGTTTGTTCAGTTCCTTAATTGAGACTCCTCTGTCAGCTTTTACTTCATAGAATCAAAATATTCAGAATAGAAATAATAAACTTCAATCATTCCAGTCACTTCAGTGACCAACTTTTAGATGACCTCTTAGTGAAGAGCTGGAAATTTGATCTGACAGTAAAAAAGAACATGAGTTTTACAATCTTATTCCTGTCTATCTAATGGTGTTTATTTATCCTAGAATCATAGAATAGTTTGGGTTGGAAGGGACCTTTAAAGGTCATCTAGTCCAGCACCCTGCAAGGAGCAGCAACAACTTCAACTAGATCAGGTTGTTAGACCGCTGTCCAACCTTCACATTTCACCTTGAAGAGCTAAAAACTCAAGAGTTCTGTTAATCCCCAAAGCACTGCCCTCTTCACTGGGAAGTGACAGCATGGGTGTCTTGCTACAGGTTCAAAGCTTGCTGAGGAGGTCACTGGCATCCAGTCCTACAACACTGCCTGTGTGGAGTTCTCAGTACTATGGACCCTTCAGCATAACTGCATTTTCAGAAAACTTTTACCTCTTATGCTTCTGCTGGAAGTGTTGTACTTCTAATATTTGTGTTTCCAGTTCTTTGCTTGCTAACCACTTGCTGCTGATGCCATGGCTACCATCTGCATTGAATGTTGCACATCCGTTTAGCACGTGCACTTGTCTATGTGTAATGCCTGTCAGGTATCAGACTTGTTCCACAGACTAAAGCAAGGCTATCATTAGTCTAAGGATGAGGAAAAAAAAAGCATGGGTAGAATAGTTTGAGTGCCAAGCTTCAAATGTAAGGTTAGCTATTTCCTAAAAGAAGAGCATGAATTCTAGATCTGAATTTCATAGCCTGTCAGATTTCTGAAAGCTCCCAGCATCAAACAGCTCCAGCAGATCAGCAGAAACAGATGAGTATTTGGGATTTCTAGAGGCAGGGGCTGTCTATTTACACCTAGTAAATATGTTCAAAATATCTACAGATAGCTATAAAGTTATGCAGAGCTTTTAACAGTGGTGGCTATTTACAGTGTTTGCCAGGGGTGCTATTTGCTGTTAACCCTTGTCTGCAACCATTTTTTATCCATTGCTTCCGCAGTGGCCATTGATTTAATCCCCAAACCTAGCTAGGAGACCTGCTCTGTGAGTTGTTCCATGCTGTGAGCTGTAGTTTTGAAATTACATTGAATGCAACTTCGTCTTGTTTATACTTGTGAGCAAACAGGCCACCCCCATTTTCGGTTTGGCAGTTCTTGGTGTTGCCTATCCTACTTGCCATCAACATTTTGAGACTGATTGTTTAGTAACAACTGTCTTCTAATACCAAAAATGTGTGTTTCCTTGTGAAAGTAATTGTCAGTGTTCCTCCACCTAGTCCAGCTTTGCCAGCTGTTTGCATTTTCTTACCATGTCTTTTTCTTACCTATGGACTTTGTCTAAAGTCTTTGCTGACCTTCACCATTTGAGACGAACCCTTGAAGATTTCTAAAATACATTTTACTGTAGGAAGAGTCAACTTTTGCAGACTAGTAGAGATTAGTAGATAGGGCAGTATGGAATACGATATGATTGAATTCCCATGTAGTAGCTTTCTGATTGTTTTCTCAAGGATGTCTGTTCTTTGTGTTAATCCCTTCTATTTGCTGTTGTTTCATTTCTTGCTACTAGTCTCCCTCTTACAACCTTTTTCACTTTAATTTCTGTGCCTTCCAGCAGGACGATATCACACAGGTAAACTGTTATTGATAACACACAACCCCCCCAAATGTGTGCATCTTTCATGTCTGTTTTGCCACTCATTTTCAGCGTTGGTCACGCAGAGTTCGTTGCCATGGTTTGTATTCACAGTAAAGGTTCTTGAAAGGGATGGAAACAATTCTACTGTTAAACTGAACTGCATCTAAGCATTAGATCTTTAACTTCTTGAACCACAGCCTCTTCTACCCTGTGTAGAAACCTTCTCTTCTGTCACATGCCACAAAATGTATGCTGGTAGTTCGCTCCCAGTAAAAGTGCTGTGTGTTAATTGCCTTGTTCCGAGGAGTGTTACGAGTGTTGCTCCCTCTGTGTGGCTGAATGAAACAAGCCCAGGGAACTTGAGAACCGAAGGGATGGAGCTACATGTTCTCTGATGCAAACCAAAGCTTGGGTTCCATGGCAATATATGGAAATAGTCTGGGAGAAGGTAAAGAATGTTGTAAAAGAAAATAGTTTCATTTCCAGACTGTAAAAATGACCCAAATTATGAACTCTACCAGGAAACTGGTCCTGAGTTTGGTGGAATCAAGTAGGGTATAAAATGTAAGCCAGAGTGTACAGATATTTGTTTTCACTGTGATAAATTTTTATACAGTTTTTAGGTCACTAAGTTGAAGTTTGTCTTGCTTCCCTTTTATCCTGAAGTATTCTTCAGTGTTTTTGGGATGGTAGCAGACTGGCTGCTGGTGATTTGATCACTCAGGGCAGAAGTTTGATGTTTAGCAGTTAATACTAACGGAGTGTTACAGTTTGGGAAATGGCTGTTGAAAGATCAGGTTAATCTAGACCAAATGACTGCAAAAACTTGGTTTTATTCTGTAAGACAAAGCTGTAGAAACGTCTGATAGTACTCAGGATAACAGCATCACATCACACATGAAAGTGCTTACCAGCATCAGACATTTTATGTAATGGAGAACAAATCAAGTAGATGTCATGACTTTTATTCCTGTACCATTAGTAGACTACAATGGCCAAAAGTCATCGATTGCCTGTAAGCTATAATGATATATTCTGTGGAGGAGGTTCTTTATTTAATAGTTACTTGTGAAAATATCTATAGAGAGCTGATTAGTAAGCAACTAATAGTTTATTTTCACAAACAATTGAAGTCGGTGCTCCTGACCCTCAGTTGTGTTGCATTATTACAGCTTTGACCTTTGAAACAATACACATAGAGTGTGTTTAGCAGAATTAAGATGCAGTTCAACCTTTTTGTAATACCAAAGACCCATATAATTTCTATGGTATTTTAAATTCAGCATGACTGCACCAAGTTAAATTTGAAAAAATGAAAAATATAGAACTGTGACATTAAAAATTAAGGTAATTTAATTTATATTTTTTGGATCTCATAAGCATTTTCCCTTAAAATAAAAATCATGGATTTAAATAATAATGTAATGAGACAACAGTACAAAGACATATGTATTCTTTTGATCCAGTATGTAAAAGAAATGTGCCTTCAGCAAATTTTCTTAGCTCATTTGTTTTGAAAGGCAAGAGCTAAAGACCAAGTCATCTAATGATCCAAGAAAAGTGATATAACAGCAAAAGCCTGCCTGGAGAAGAAAGAATTCTTCTGTGGTTTAGGCTTGTCTTTTCATCCCCTTTTATCCATGTGGACCATCTAAAGCCAGGTCAAGATGGCTGGATTCCTTGTGATCTGCAGAATGGTCAATATTTGATCTTGAAATAGTTCAAACCTTTGCTAGAAGACTTGTTAAGTTACAGTGTTTCTGACATTGAGGATATCAGAATGGCTTCGTGATATCACTGCTATGCTAGAAGCTCATTAGGTTCCTGTCACAAATGTTGACAGTAGATCTCCGTGTTATTACTTTTCAGTATTCAGTGTGGTGATTTTCTTTTAGGTTGTGAGATGTTCATACAGACTAATTGTTTTTCTTACTTTCATACCAGTATTTAAAACCTTTATACCACATTTAAGTGTGCAATATCTATATCACCACACCACAAATTGCTATTAAGAATATTTTATTTTACAAGAATAATAAAGAATACTTATAAATCCCCCTTTTTTTGGAAGTGAAAAATAGGTGGGATATTTGTAGCTGTCTTATTTAAAATTTAATGATGATGTGGTAGCTTGTTTCTAGTTTGGTTTATTTGTTCTTTTGAGGGGGGTGGGGTTGGTTTTTTTCTTGATAAGTACAAGGCATTTCAGATTGGAAACAAAAACATGCAAATAGTTATTTTAGTAGTTGTATCTATTGTTCATCAATTACTAAAAAATAGCTGGTTATGTAGTGCTATAATAAAATTGTATTACAAGGTAGAAGTATTTCTTGAAGAGCTATTTAATTTTAAATGTCGATGTTCTGCATCTGAGTGCCTGACTTTAGTAAAACCTTGTGTTATATTTTGGCAATTTGACTCACACTCCTCACTGATCTCAAGTATTCTTATGCTTCCAGAAGTGTCTCCTTCATTTCAGTATGGAGATTAATGACATTGGGTATTGGTCAGGGTTGCTAATACTGACCTTTTATTAAATTTTTTCGTATTGGTGATGATGTTTCTACCATCTGAAGGAACTCAGCCTGTTCATTTTTAGTTTCTGCCACAGAGGCCACATTCTGCCAATCCTGACTGCCTGACTCCACATGGAACCAGCCTGCACCAGACCTTGGATTTTGATGAGTTCATACCACCAATCCCACCTCCACCGTACTACCCACCAGAATATACCTGCACACCAGTGATAGAGGTGCAGAGGTAATTATTCTTCCCTGTAGTTACAGACATTGCATAGTTCTGAGCTACAGACTATGAAGCTCTTTCAAAAAATACAAAGCTGAGTAATGTCCTTCACTTACATTAGGTGCTTCTTTTACAGACAGATGACATACTTTTTTTTGCAAACTTGTTAGGATGCACCTGGAAATATTTGTGCTAAAGCACTGCTGTAATAGAGAAGTGATTGAACTTAGCTGAGACAAGAATAACAATATCTGACCTTAAAGCAGAGATTAGCTTATAGGCAATCCTTTCACAGTTGATAACATTATACAGTTGAAGTTGAAGATGAGATTTAATTTTTTAAAGGAATCACAGAATCACAGAATGGTTTGGGTTGGAAGGGACCTTAAAGATCATCCAGTCCCACCCCCTGCCATGGGCAGGGACACCTCCCACTAGCCCAGGTTGCCCAAAGCCTCATCCAGCCTGGCCTTGAACCCCTCCAGGGATGGGGCATCCACAGCTGCTCTGGGCAACCTGTTCAGGAGTAGTGAAGTACATTAATGACTGCAAAATGGTCTGGTAGAGATGGCTGGCATCCAAAGTGAAATACAATTTTTAAAGCTACCCTGTGAATGAGGGCTTCCTTTTGGTTGTCTATTATTCAGTATAATTCTTTGTAGTATATTGGCTTTGGATATACAGAAAGCTCCTCATCACTGTGGTGTAGGTAATAGTTTACCAAATAAATCCAAAGCAATTTCTTAATAATTAAGTTTACTTGTTTGTGTTTTTAAACAGAGGTCTCCATTTGGACTTCCCTCATTCCCCATTCAGTGCTCTATATGAAGTAACTGTTAACAGCCCGGGAATGCTGTATCCAGCTGAGCTGCCCCCTCCTTATGAGACAGTGATCAGAGAGACACCTGCCAGTCAGGTAAGGAAAGCCAAAGGAAAGTCTTTACATGGTCTTCAAATTTGCATGACACAAACCAATTTTAGATAAATTCAATGATCTAAAATAATTTAGGAGTTAACTGTATTTTGAGGGAACAAGTATTAGAAAAATATTTGTATTTACACATTTTCCAGACCATTCTCTTTAAGAGGGCTAACTAACAAATTTTACTTCCTGTGTATTCTCCTTATGTCCTTGCACATGGTTGGGCAAACGCTTATGCAAGTAGTAATATTTCAGCTGTCATCATCTGTTAAAAAAGTTGTATGATGCTGGACTGTCAGTAACAAAAACCGAGAAGAATGGATAGGAATCACTGTAGCACAGCGCTTTTCCTTACTTGAGAAAGATAATGATGTTTTAAAATGCGATTACATTTCTTAATTTCTCTAGGTAATAAGGAATTAGGAAGCAAGTTTATTTCATTTAAAACACCTACAGTTGTCAAATCTTTTTTATTCCAACTACTGATGATAGTGGATTGGACTCATTTTAAGATACTGCTTTCAGTTGGAGCTCAGTACAACAGTGTGGGTTTAATAAGGAAGAGGATAACTGCGTATCTTGTGATTCGTAACGCTAATAACGTCTGTGTGTCTGTGTATGTCTGTATATAGCATAGGGCTTGTGGGACATTTGGTTTTGCTCTGTGTGTGATCTGAGCCAAGATAATTACGAATTCCCTTTTTAAACTCTATGTGTATGTAGGTAGAACATGTATTCCAAACAAAAATCTCTGTAAATAACCCTGGGTTAACAAAGTTAAAAATACACATTTGCAGTCCCCCACTTATGGCAGATTTCAGCTCATGTTCTGCAAAAGTACTGGGAGCATCTGGTAGTTTAGTTTCTTATAAAGGTATACTCCAGTCTTGACAAGATGCCTTGAACTCAGTGCCAAATTTCTGCTTTAGTAGCTGTAAGATACAGCCTCTATAAGGAGACTCCTTTCAGGCACCAAAGGGCTAGAAACTGAGTCCTGCTTCAGTGTTCCATTAGAAATAAGAAAGATACATTAGATATAAAATTATACAGAGCGAAGTAGTTCTCTATTGCTTATACTTTTGGCTGTTACAGGTTTAGGAGCTTTTGTTGTTATATGGCAGAAACAGTCTTGAGAGTGCATAATACCTTTATTCTGAACTTTGAGAAAGGGGCCAGTATACCTCAGACAAATTTTTGTTACACTTTTTTGCCTTGTTTTACTGCACTTGTTTTACTGCACTCCAGTGAAACTAGAATTAGAACATATCTGCATGTACAGCCAAAGCTGATTTGGGCAACATTTTGCTTGAAGTGATTTGTGATGATAACTGAATCAGCTGTCACAAATGGGAAGATACTTTAAATTGCTTTTAGAAACTGTAATTTCTTGCAGGCTTCAGTAAAAACTCAAGGAGTTAAACATTCTAGATATTGCTTATCAGCTGTTAATAGCTCCCTGTGGAAATATGTGTTCAGGTTGCCAAATTGTACCCACGTTACAGCGGGTAGTACCTTGCCTTTCCCCAAAACGTAAAACTGAAAAGTTTCCTCGTGGTTTTTTTTCACATTGGGGGAAATCGCAGCTGAAATCACAAAACTAAAGGAATTTTGTAGATTTTTACTGTTATGCACAAGAAGATCAAGACAACCAATAAGACAAGTGTTTGAGGAAAAAGAACTTTGCACAATCCTTGACAAAACTGCTATTAAAAAACTCCAAGATATGCCTAACTTTGCAGCTTCTATGACTGACAAACCAGCTTCTGACAACTCTTCTAATCCTTGCCTTGTATCATACCCTCCACCTCCTACCACAAAAGCCAGGCCAAGCAGTGCACTCCCTTTGATTTATTTGGCTATAATAAAATTAATCGGTGTAAACTGCTCATGAGTGGAGTGCTTTTCTGAACAGCGAAGTTGGGGTTTCCAAGGCTGTCTCCTTTCTAACATATTTGTAATCCAAGTTCCATCCTTTTTCCTTGTCAGTAACTCAGAGAAATCTGCAAGCCCTGGAGGAGTTGATATTTTTCAGTGATTTAAAAAAAAAAAAAAAAAAACAAACCAAAAAAAAGGCAAAAGTGATGTGAATTATACATGGTTTGGGGGGAAAGAGAAGGATCATATTCATGATAAGAATTTGTATGTGATACTAAGTGAGTGTCTATTTATACCTAAGCACAAAATCACTTTCAGCACTCTCGTAATTGGGTTTATACTTTACACGAGCATTGATATCCAGCAGCACAATAGCACCAGCGTATAACAAAAGTATAATTTAATAAGACATAATTTAAAGCATGTCAAAGTCGTGCTCTTGCAAGAAGAGCATGAGCTTTAGTAAGGAGATGTGTTGAGTGTTATTTGGGGTCAGTGTCAGTACTTTGCTTATTCATCTCTGGCCACCTGGGTTCCACAAGTGTTTGTTCTAATCGCAAATGAAAATGAGTGGTGATTTATAATTTCTAAATGGTGGTAATTATATAGTTTCTTACCAGGGCTGAGTTTATATATGCCTGGTAGTTGCTGGTTCAGAGAGCTTGAGGCACAAAGTAAGAGGTGCTGAGTATCAGAAGTGCGGTACGTTGGCCATGCTAACTGAACCCTGCACAGAGACTTCACAGCCATGTACTTTTCTCGACAGTAAAAGCCCTCATGTATTTTTTGGCAGTCAGTGTCCCAGCTGATCTGTAAATGGAGGAATGGAGCCAGAGTCTAAGACAGTTTTAGGTCTACAAGAGGAATAAAATGGAGTCCTAAATTCTTACATGATACAAGTGCTCCCATGCACCAAGCTACGGTACAGTCTGAACTGAAATAACTGGATTTCTAAATCCCTCAAAGGCAGACTTTGCAATGGGAATCACGACAGGGCTTTAGCTATGGAAGTGTTTCTGGGAACCATGATGTAATCATGTCATAATTGTACACCCTATTACTGAGCATCAAGCAATAGAATTTGTTTGGTTTTAAAGGAATCAAGGTGCTTAGTATTTTATTGAATTGTATCAAATTAGACTCAGTATTGAATTCATTTAATGGACAACAAATGTCAGTGCTGATTGAAGTGGTTGCATCAAAGTAAAAATCGCTGTTGTCGTCTGTACCGATAGGAATTCCCATTTTATGACTATGAAAAAAAAGTGGTTTTCACGCTGTTTCCCATGCAAAGTATTGACTAGGATACAGAAAAGACAAGAACAAACAGATCAGGGTTCTGGACCTGTTGTGCTCCAGGCATGTTTGTGTAATAGGAAACTGAGGTATGTAAATACAATGTTTGTGTTCCTTCTGCCTGTAAAATAGTGTATTTTTTGAGAGAGATGCAGTATTTTGATTTCAAGAATTGCTAAGCCAACTTTTTTCACAAGCCTTAAGTTTTATGTATATGCTGTGTAATAATGTTGTTATTATTTTAAATTTACTAGATCATAGCTACAGGTGGTTCTTTTTCATCAGTACAAGTTTGCCAAAACCTCAGCCTTTATTGCCAAAACCTCCTTTGATAGGTACTAGACAATGTCACTAAAGCTGCCAGGTGACTGGGAGAATGTAGAAGGTCAATAAATGTTTGAGCACAAATACTCAGCAGATATATTCCTGTCAATGATTAAGAATTTATGGAACCACCTAGATTTAAAAAGAACACCTAGATTTTTAAAAAGAAACAAAAACACCCTTAAAACACGATATTTTTTCTTCCAAAACGTACTTAGTCTGATTTAATTTTTTCCATTTGAGCAGTTGAGAACACTTCTTGCTTCTCCAGTTAATTCTCAGCAGTTCCACAGTTAGTTTCCAGGAATGGTCTGCAACTTAGAGTGACACCACTCATTTATTTTTTTTTTACCACAGGTGTGATATTCTGTTTCAGAAAGATCCTTTAAGAAATTTCCAAGCAAATTGTTTAAAAATATGAGTGATCTGCTTCCCAGTCCTCTATCCATCTATTGCTGAGTTAAAGTATTTCTGCTACTGTTCTTTGTTTAGACTTGTATTCGCTAACCCTTAGATTTAAATTCACTTCTAAAAACTAAATTTGTATCAGAATAAGTTCCCTGATCACTTGATCATAGTAAGGTATGGATAGATAGGTATGAAAAAAGATTAGTGACCACAGTAAGTTATGCATATATATATATGTGCATTAATCTACACTGGCGTGTGCCCTGAAAACTCTTTCCTTCCTTAATAGCTTCAGAGTAATAGTGTCACCTTCAGTTTTTTAGAAGGTCAGGTACAAATTAAGCACTTGACAAAAAGGTTTTCACAGAGGTGAATGATGGATATTTCTAGACTCTGTCAGCAACTATAATAAGCTTTTCTTAGCTAACTGTGGCCCTACAGACAGGAGCAGATATAATGATGCTTTCTGCATGTATCTTTTCTTTCCCTTCAACTTTTCTTTTCGTATTTTTCTTCATTTATTGTTACGAGCTATTTATTGGAACCATTTATGATCCCGAAGAACTGCTAAAAATCTAATGAGATTGGCAACAAGGTCCAATCCAAAGTCTGTTAAAATCAGTAGAAAGAAAATTTCCTAAATTTCAGGTGTTTACAGATCAAGTATTTCCAGGACTGATTCTGTATTTTGTTCACATGATTCTCAAAAGTGAAGGGAGTTACCCACTGAGATTCATCCTTTCAGAAAAAAGAGGACTCCCCATGTTCTCTCCCTTCAGCAAGGCTGGAGAGCACCCTGCGTTGGCCATCGTGGGTGGCAGTGATGCTGCAGGGCTTGTATATCATGTGTTAACATCTCAGCAAATAACCAAAGGAAAAAACTGCTCTTGGGCTTGTTTTTGTGATTTCTGTTGGTCCCTATCCTATTTTGGGGTGAGACAATGTGGCAAGAAAAAAGCATAATAGGGAAAAATGCAGACTGTAGAAAAAAAGAGGTTGCTTGTAGTCAAGCCGTTAGTTTTAAGCAATGTTAAGCTTTGTAATGTGGGCCTGCAGCCCCAGCTATCTGTGAATTCAAGATGAATTCAGCTTGTAGATTCTGGAAAAAATTAAAAATTGCTTTAAGCATGTTCCTTTGCTCTGTAGTTGTTCCTCACTGAAAGACACTGTAAAATACTCTCTTTAAATAGCTTTCAATATGAATAGCAGCTTATATGATAGTTATTTCAGGTTGTCAGGTATGTTCTTAAGATCATCTTTTTTTTTTTTTTTTTACCCATCAAAATCCAGTTTTGGTAAATTGGAGATTAATGTGCTGTTTTATGAAACAATTTTCATTTAGGTCACTGGTACTGATCAGCAAGTATCTGCATCAAGCTTGGGTGAGAGGAACATGACCCTGGACTTCAGCACACAAGGTGATCATAGCATTGTGGTTGGCTACTTGAGGAAGATGTCGTAGGATTTCCTTCTCTTCTGCCTTTCCCAATGGAGAAAGAAGGATTTGCTTTCAGATTGTTCATGGCAAGAACCTTTTCACAGTCATAAAGCGATGTGGCTGGAAATGCAGAGGAGAGTTTTGCTCAACAAAGCATGATCTGTAACACCCTTTGAGGCAGACACGGCAACTGTCATTTCTCTTTGAAGAGTCCCATGCATAACTGGCAGTTTGCTCCTCATTGTTAGAGCCATGGCTGCCTTCCTGATATTTCCTGCCTGGCTTCCGGAAGCCTGAACAGGAAGCTTGCTGCCTGAAGCATGGATGTTGAGAATGCAAGTAGCTGAGTAACAGCACAGAGCCTGTTTGTTCAAAGTTTAACAGTTACTAGAATAGGCCTCCTGACCATGTCCGTTGATATGGAGGGCTTTCTAAACATTACCGCTGCTGTGGATCATGAGACATTAAGCAGTTTGTATGAAATAATTATTTTAGTAAACATTCCATTAAATACTTTTTCCCGATCATATTCATGTTGTATTAATGAATAGACTGGCAGGTGTTCTCAGTTAGTACACCTGTGGGCAGAGAGGTGGTGGTCCAAAGAACACAGTTCTCCCTCTCACTGAGCGTCCAGAATGGCACTGACGGGTGAACAGATCAGTGAGGAGCATCTGCTCCTACAGAGTATCTGTTCCCTGAAGAAGGATTTCAATTGCCAGAACCAACAGCAGTCACCGTTAACTACTGTTAAATTTAATTTTTTTTAAAAATCCCTGGCATTTGGCAACTGCAATGGAGTGTGACAACTGAAGGTGACTAGTTTTTAAGTGCTGCTATTCACAGGGGCTGTGTCTACGGACCTCGTTCCTGAAGTTCGTAGGTACATTTAGACTTCACATCGACATATGAAAGTCTAATTTTTAAGGACAGTGCTAGAGTTTTGACTCTGGTGAAGCAGTGGACCAGCTCTCAAGCCAGGGTTTTGACATTACATATTGTGTTGCATGCACATGACAGGGAACTAGAAAGGTCCTTGGGCATGGTTTATTAGTGTAAAATCTGTCAGGTTGTCACCATTCCATGTCTTCTGAGTGGTGATTGCTTCTCATCTCCTTCAGGCCCCTCCTGCTGTCTGTAGTACCAGAAAGACCATGCCAGTGGAAGAGTAGAATAGTGAGAAGCTGTAAATACAGTTTAAGGCCTTTGAGTCCAGAGAGCAGATGGTCCAAACCACCACACTCTAGTTATCAACTAAACAGAATCAAACTAGGGAGAGTATGGACAGTGAAGATCTGTGCTCTGAAGACAGGCACATACCGGATGCTTTCATTTATCCATACAAACTTTATAGATATTTCAAAGCTTGAGTGAAGGGAATATGTTGCAAAGAATCATCACACTAGGTCAAAAATGTTTGGGGAATCATCACAAATATAAATGGTCCAACAAACCACTGCAGCTTTGCACCTAACGCATAATGATCAGTGCATATTATGTATTTTTAGCGTAATGTAGATGTGTAGATTTCCATTATTTATTATGTCCTTTTTGGCAATGTTATAGTTGCCTTGTAAGTGTTACAAATTTATTTCCTGGAAGCCCCGAAAGAAAATAGCTGTTGTGATGCATTGTATGTAAGAAGGAAATGTCCTTCATAAACTCCAACCTCATGAATGTTTGATTTTCATTTTGATAGTTAATTTCCCTATACTGTAGAAACCTTTCTGCTTCCTAGACCCCGAAACACGGGAACACTTAACAAACATTCTCTAATTCACCAAAAGATCCTATTTTTCTATTCCTGAACAAAACAGTTAAAATACATTCATCTCATCGATATGGTTAGCAACAGCTGTACGCAAAAAAGGGCATCAGAGGCTGCTGAACTGAATAGAAGTACAGGATTTGTATTTTGTAAATATTTTTATTTTAGCTGTAGGACTTTAAGGAATTACAGTCTGATATGGGGAAAGTGTTGTCTATATTATTGCAGCCTGGAGACTGGATTATCTAGTTTTATTTTCTTTATTTTTGTCATAACTTTGGGAATAATGCAGAGCCACATACTTATTTTCATACAATTGGCCATTTTCATCCATCACATATATTTGTAGACATGACAGAGGAAGTGATAACAATCTCAGTTTTTAATAGAAGGGGTTTCAAAGATGATGTGACCTTGCATAGGATGTTTAGCTTCTATCTGAAGTTTGTGTGTCACATATTTTATGTGCCAGAGATGTTATGTGATGGTGAACTCTCATTTTAAAGAACTTGGATATATGCTTCAGGGAAATGATGGTTGATTAGAAAATGTTAGGTGCAAAGCTAATATTGACAGTAGTGATAGATTTAAAGGTGATCAGAGCCATGTTTTTCCAGCATTTGTGTAAAGTTTTACTTCTTCTAGCACAGGCAATCTCTCACTGTTTACCAGAGAAACCCGCAGTGAAAGAGCTGTTCCTGTCCAAATGTAGTTGCAGATAATACTTTGGTATCAGTGCTCAAGCATGCTTATTAGTTGAAGAAAATACTCGAGGACAGCACAAATTGTCTTTGCTGAAGGACACCAGACACAAGTCAATTACTTCAGTCTTTTTTGCTTTGGCATTCTGTCATCTGAAAGCTTTTGAGTAATTATTGATGTACTTGCCAATTACTAAATTTAAATCAGTATATTGAAAACAGAGCTGGGGGGGGGCGGTGCTGGGAGAGGGGCAAGAAGTCTTCATTTTTCTCTAAATCCCTTGTTTTGCAGTTTCTGTTGAGAGCACCTCTTTGATGGTCTCTGGGGCTGTTGATATCCTAGACCGTAGCTGCTCCTCTGAAGATCTCTGTTCACTGGAAGTTCAAGGATCTCTCCGTTCTGCAGATCTTTCTCCCTACTGTCCAACCCCCAAAGGGGCCACGGACCAGAGCTGCAGCACTCTGGATGACAGCACCCGCTGCAGGTTCCACAGAACTCGCTCAGAGGGTTTGCCTGATGAGGATGGCAGTTCCCACAGCCAAGCCTCTACAGACAGGTCTCAAGGACAGAAAGAGAACTGTTCCCACAGCAGGTCCTTGGACTGTTCCTCAGAGGATTTAGCCCCCTCAGGAAGAGAACTCCAGAGTTCTCGAGAGAGCAATGCCACACTGCCTTTGAAGCAAAATAAAATCTGTTGTGTGGAATTCAGCCAGCCTCCTGTCCCTTCCCAGACCTCTCCCTGTTCCGAGGCCGCAAATACTTCATCATACACGAGTGGCCACAAGAGTGCTGTCCAGCAGCATCACACTCCAAAATACCGATTTTCAAATATCGTCCGATCAACTAGTGACCCGGTCTCATGTTCATTTTATACAGAAGGTAGGTGCAGCACCGCAAGGCTGGTGGAGCATGGACCCAGTGAGTGGTATGTGATCTATGCAGCAATTGGTGCTGCTGGAAATTATATGAAACGTTCCAGTGAGGGTTGATTTATGTGTGAGGGCTTTCGTTCCATACACATATTCTAGATTTGAATTTTTTTAAGAAGAATGGACATGGGAAAAGTGACAGAGTGAAATTAATTTTGGTTTCTCTAAACTGTACCAACCTGTCTGCAGTGCTCCAAAAACCATCTCTTGAGTAGATGCTTCCACCTCTCTATCGCTGTTATATTGAGAAGATAAATTAAGAAGTTGAATGGTATCTGGGGGTCTATTTAGGAAATAATTAACTGAGCTGTCATGCTTGTAATACAGCGGGTTGTGTTTCCTGAAGGTGACACTGACATTGACAGCATTGGTGCATGTCAGAGGCAGTCAGAGTGTGACTGGGCAGTGGCAAGTTGGACTGTATGGTGAAAAGTTTTAAAGGACAAAGAAATGAAAGATGAGGCACATGACAATGAAAAGCAAAGCTTTTGTCTGTCGTGGATAAGCATATTCTGCTATGAATCTCCTTTGAGACAAGCAGAGAGGAAGAGAGGAGATGTTAGCTGAACAGTGTTATCTTCATTAAAATTTGCTTGTTAGTGGAAAATATATGTTTGATTTAGAAAAGTGCAGGTTTTACAAAAGGACCTAAGCTGGTTAGGGAGATTCCAAGGGGTAACCTGGAGAAGTGGTTTGAAAGTAGAGATTAAAAGCTTTGTAAGATGTAGATTGTGCAGCTACAAATGCATTCACTGGGCTTTCTAAGGGATCTAGAGGAGGAATCATGTGATTACCTCAAAACAAAAGTAGACAAAATGCTGAAATAACTGGTTTCATTTAAGAAGAGCTGGTGTTTCATTTAAGAAGTGTTGGTTCTATTACACTTTTTGCATAATTATTCTGTTTCTGGGAATTTCAGAGACCTCATACTTAACTCAATAATTAAATGTCTTTTACCTTCAGAAGTCTAGCCTCAGCATCCTGTCCAGGAAAAATGAATCTTTAATATAGAAGTCTGCATTTATTTTATGACATTTACTCTGCTAGGCTATACATGCTATGAAGCTGCTGTGCAGACAGTAAGTAGGAATTTCTGAATCCTTTCTACTCTGCCAAAGACAAGAAGAACAGCCCTTTCTCTTCTCGATCATGCTCTGCAGGTTTTCCATATTGTGTTCCATAGGCTCATCGAGAGATGACTGTAGGCAGCCATGTCTACGTGTTCTAGCTGACTGCTGAGACACCTGGTAGAACAGATGCTCTTCCTTCATTTTTAACATGTCCTAAATACATCCATCATCTTCTCTGGAGAAGTGGCATTATGGGAATTACTTTGACTAATTTCAAAGTTCTTAGCCCTACATGAGCTGAGAGATGCAGGTTGAACATTACTGAGATGTAACTGGGCTCAGCAAAGATTGTAATAAAGGAGCAGAACTGGTTCTAGAGATATTGATGGACACACAGCAGAGGGGGGAGCAAGAGAAGGACCTCACAGGGAATATGTTTGTGCTGACCTAGTTGGCTGTTCTTTTGCTGCCTACAGAAGACTCTTTAACAGGAGATCTTTAAGAGAAGCACTGGAGTCTAGATGTGCATAGTTATCTCATTTATTCATTTGGAAAATTACAGTTTTCACAGTTTTACTCTGTGAAAGATTTCACAACTTCACATCGCTTCCCCTTCCTCTACTTTTTGTTGAACTTCATTTGGAAATCATACATAGGTTAGAAGCAGCACAATTCTAGTAACATGTACCGGCTGCTGGTAGCAGTCCTGAAGCTTATTTTTCCTAAACTGTGACACACAGCTGAAGTTCTTTATAGTCTTTATAACTTTAAAAAGGCATTTGATCCAGATTTTTCATGACTGGCTGTAATAGGTCTCACTGCAGAATTTAAAAATACATCTACTGAGTTAAATGACAGGAAAAGATAGAGGGAATCAACTGAGCTCCATCAACTAACCAACCCAGAAGGAAGAGGGTTTTTTTTCAGCAACATGTCTTTACTTTTTAAAATCGTCCTGAAGCAGAAGAACTGGGCAAATAGACTGACCATATGAAAGACAGAGCTGTAACTATGTATAGTTAATACTAATAACTCATGTAAGAGACATACTGCAGATTTTTGAGAACTGAGGGCTAGGGGGAGCTTCAGGCATGTTCACAAAAGGGAAAAGAAAATAGTCAGATTGGTAAGTGAGGCTTGATTTTGTCTTGGTCCCGGTCTTTCTACATTGAGAAAAATTTTAAATTTATCTTCTGATAAACCTCCCTATAAAAGTCGAAGTGAAGAGATTTAGAAGTACAAACTTGAAATTCACTGTGTAGGGTTTGGTTAAATGTGTCTTGAATGTTACAGTGATTGCAGTGCAGATGGTTTGGAACATAAACTATTTGACACAGGAATGTTGCATGGGTGCAACAGCAATGAGATCTAATAAATCAGTAATATGGGAATTTTAATGCTGGCATAAAACTCTGGACGTTTAGGTCAATAAAACACAATTCAAGACTTCAACTGCATCTTAACATAGAATTATAGAATGGTTTGGGTTGGAAGGGACCTTAAAAATCATTGAGTTCCAACCCCCCTGCCATGAGCAGGGACCCCTCCCACCAGCTCAGGTTGCTCAAAGCCTCATCCAGCCTGGCCTTGAACCCCTCCAGGGATGGGGCATCCACAGCTTCCCTGGGCAACCTGGGCCACTGCCTCACCACCTGCACAGGAAAAAATTTCTTCCTAAAATCTAATCTAAATCTGCCCTCTTTCAGTTTAAAACTGTTACCCCCTCATCCTATCATCACTGTACCCCCTGATACAGAGTGCGTCCCCATCTCTCCTGTAGCCC